TAGAGGCAGAAAACAATTGCTAAATTTCACAAGACTGCCATGTCCTGTATTTGTTTCAAATGAAAAGGAATTATCTCAGTAAAACTATATAGAAGACATTGGAACAAAACTCATTTTAAAGGCGTTGTCGTGGTGTTATTAAACCTGAATTACTGAACACGCATTTTTAATAAGGAGTATTCCAGCATGATTTATATGCCTTTATAGTTGCTCTTTGTCAAATTCGTTGGCATTTTGCACAATGGATGTCAATCTAATGACAAGTGTAAATCTTACCTGGTTTTGATCAAGCACACAAAGACATGGAAAGAATCGATATCTCTGGTATGTAGTACCTAATCTTGAAAGAGAGGTCGAGAGAGACATTTTTAGAACCACTAGTGGCTTTCTAAGAATAATTAGCCTACTGTGACTTACAGGGTGTTTTCAAGTCCCAGAAGTCATAGTTTCTTTTCATATGTAAAATTCATATATTATCTGCAGGAAATAATTCTTTCTGAAAAGCCAAGCTAATCAATCACTTTTTAATTGGATTTTCATTCTCTTTGCCATTAATGAGTGAGTCAGAAAAATTATAAAAGGTTTCTTGACATTCAGATATTGTTCACAGCTTAAAAACATATGCATTAGACCTGTTTGGATAAGATTATTTTTTAATTTGTGTTTTACAGCACTATTTCAAAACCTGCATTGAATTTTACCTTTATAAGGTTGATTTTAAATCTGTACAAGTTTGGGGTTGTTTTTTGCGTAGAAGGATTTTTGGTTTTGTAAAAGTAAGATGGTTTCAGGTGTACATGCACTTTTTTCCCTGAACAATTGTAATTACATACATCTTTTAATCTCTCCATTATATGAAAGAGAGAAAAAGTGAAACTGAATATTTACAAATGGCTGAGTATTTTAATTTTCAAAAATGGAAGTTTCTATTCCATTTCTGTAGTTTTAGGTATTTTTAATTATGTGACACAATGTGAGTGTTCAGGCAGATGAGTTTTATTTCTTTATTTGTTGTGATGATTGTATCACTTCCTTTAATATTCAAAGATACTGATTTCGTATTTACTCACAAGAGAAGTACATAGTGGATGATTGCCAAAATTATTTTTAGTTCTGTGTGTAAGTCTCAGTGTCTGGCTATATTATCTCTATAGACAAATGAAAGAAAAACGTTGTCTTCAATCTCTCTCAAATCCTCTTAGCTCTTCAAAAGCTAAAATACTTAGTTTTGCCTCTCAAGCCTGGTGACTTGAGATGGAGAGGACGCTTCTTGTCACTGCAGAGGCAGAAGTGGATAAACTTAGAGTCTTTCTGAATTTCGGTCTGCCTCTACAATGCTGACTGATTGTTCCCCTGTTCCCTAACTGAAGATTCACCTAACATAAATACTGCACATTTAAAGCAAATAATAATTAGGAAGACAAAGACCTCCCCCAGAGTGAATGTACAGAACTTTTTTATCCTACTTAACTCCTAAGTAAACTTACAAATCCTATCACATGGCCATTAACTGTATTTACTTGTAAAACTTACTCTGTAAACTGTCTTGGAAGTAAACTTTCGTTGTCTCTTTTAGGTGGAAATGGAGTGTAAATTGCTTTCAAATGCTAAGTTTAAAAAAAAAAAAACAAACCCAACAAAACCAGACAAAAAACCCACCCCGCTCTATAAATATATATGTATGCACTAAAGAATGACAACTAAGGTTGTTGTTTGTGTGGCGCTTATAGCTTAACCTTCACGTACTTTATAGTATTAAGTAATTGTGTGAACGGTGTTGCTTTCTCCCTGGGTCATCATAAGAAGAATAGGGGCTATAAATTTATGCCTCAGGTTCCAGCATCTGAATTGAAAGTGATTCTTTCTGGCACTGAGACCCCTCTGCTGTGTGACAGATAGGGACATTAGTGTGAACCGAAGTTAGCTACAACTATTTCAGGGCTGCTGTACTGCTCCAGTGGTATGCTCCTAGAATAGCACGGAGGGTTACATGCAGTAGGAGTGCCCTGTCAACCACACGGCATTGCTGGTGCATTCCTAGAGGCTGAAAATACTTATTTTTATCGTGTCCCTCCTTGAATGGTGAGTTTCAGCATTCATAATAATATGTCTGAAGCGTTGTTCTCCATCCTTTTCCCTCCAAAATCACTTTGCTAATTTGTCCTCTTCTTCTGTGTGCTAATGGCTGTAGTGACAGGAGTCTTTATTTGAACATATAATGAACAATGAGTAATATAATGTGGCCAGTACAAGTGGATCACTCCTATCTGTGATAAAGCAGAAAATGGTGGTACCCTTTTATGAGCATTTACTCCTGTAAAAGCTGACAGCTTCTAAAATTAGGCATGAAATACCATCTTGGGAAATTCTTCTTTTTAGGGCTTGCCCTTTCCAGTTTACCTTAATCTTTGAGATAGAAGCACAACACTTTATTGGTTACACGAACAACCTATTGGACTTGCTTCAGAGATAACACCTAATTTAAAGGTGAGATTGAATCAGTTGTTGAAAATAGTCTATTTGGAGAAGCTTAAATAGCTTCACATATCTCAGTGTCTCACTGAATTGATTTCCACCCCCCTCCCATTTGTTCATCTTGGAGGGAGAGGTAATCATTATTTTAGCAAAGACAGGAGTGAAAACTCTTAAATTGCAAATGTCACCTTGACATGCATTGGGGTTTTTTGTTGATTTTTTATTTAATGGTATGTTATTTAATCTTGGCTGATGATGATAAAAGCCCTACTGAAGTCACTTTTCAGAGAGTTGTAAAAAAAAAAAAAAAAGCCCCTTGTTCAGAAAGAAGCAGGAAAATTAGTGGCATCCTTTAATCATCAGGAAAGGACTGGCCGACAGCAGTAAATGACTGGAAACATAGGAGGACCACGTGCTCACTTCGTGTGAATTGCCAGCAACAACTGAAGTTGATAGGTAGCATTTTAGAGAGGAGTCTCTCTGGAACTCCTCATCACCGGCCTCAGCAGTTCTTCTGTCCATTTGTTTATAGTGTTCTATACTTAATAGTAATACTTAATACTTAAACCAAAAATCTTTTGTATTCTACTGCAGTGAGTTCTGATGAGCACTTTGTCAGTAAAGATACAGTTGTGGTAGCAGTTGGAAACTGATTTCGTCTGTGTAAAAATGCCTTCAGGCTTTTCTGAATTTTCCCATCTGCTGGGAACTGTAAAATACTGAATTTTATCTGGAATATGTCTACAAGTATCAGTGAAGCCTTCAGAGCTAGATGTGATTTCATTTGAAATTTCTCATATTTCCTTAGCAATGATTAAAGTAAAATTAAATGTGATTATTTTGTTTTCAACACACCATGTGGATTTACATGTTTCACATTACAGGCAATGCTCAGAATAAATGTGTTCCACAGGTTCATATTACTGTTGGGGTTCATGTGTTATAAAAATAGATCCTGTTGATCGTGTGCTTTATAAAGCGTGGTAGGTCTATTTGCTTTAAAAGCACAGAGGTTTTAAACATGCAACAAAATGATAAGAGTAATTCTTCATTTACTACTATTTTGTTCTCATTAGAAGCTGCAAATAATGATGCTAAAACCAAAGCAATGAAAAGTAGTCAACCAGAACTTTACGACAAGGAGTAAACTGCATTCACACCCACGTGTTTTGCTTGACTGGCAAAATAAGACACGCTGGATCCTAAATTAGAGCATGCAGGCAGATACATGCATCAAACCAGCAAGATACGGGAACGGTATTAAGCAGTTGCAGTCTATGTGTATACGGAATTTAGCTTAATTTCACACAGTGCTGTGGCAGTAATAGAAAGACATATGAAAGCATGTGCTACGTGGATACTTGGTGTTTTGGGAGCTGATTTTCTGAAAGCCAGCAGGTAGTTCAGTTGTCTTGCTGGATGAGTTTGGGGGTTCTGCAGCATTAGGGCTGCTGGTTCTAGCTGCTAGTTAATGCCTGAAAATGTACCACGTGCTACAAAAGTTTTTGTCATGGCTTATGTTACCACCCTGATGAGGTGCAGTGGTTGTTGAGACAACCTGGAAAGATTGGCCAATGCTTAGTCCAATTTTGCTGGGTACAGACTTGCTTTGGCGAATTCATGCTGCAGGTACAAGTGTTGAGTAGTCAGCTTTTTGCAGTTTTCACAAGGCTTAGTAAGAAACAGTGTCTTCAGCTATTCAAAGTTTACTCTTTTGACTTGAATCTGGTGTGTGGAGTGACTCTGTTGAGAAATGTTTTTAATGCCAATGTATAATACTAAAACCAAAATACTGTGACTTTTTAAATACCTTTGGCCTTCTGCTTGTGACTAAATTTATGTTTTTACAAGCAAAGACTGCTGCATCAACTGATACAAAGGAATTCTCTGTGATTTCAGCGGTACAAGACCAGATCTTCAGAATGTTTTACATATTTATTTGGTAGCCACATAGCTCTCTGTTATCCAAAATAATGTAATGTTTAGTGGGGTCTCACGAAGTCACCACCCTACCATGAGTTTGTTTCTTCTGTGTCCACTGTTCTCTAGTGTCTGAAATTTTGAATTTTTAAAAAGGAGAAATTTTTAGAAATTATAATTTTAGATTGGAAATCTGGTTTTAGTTCTGTTCATTCTCCTTGCGAGCTGAGTCTTTGCTACTTTCATATATGATGTACCATGCAGTTCTTGCGCTTTCACAATACAGTTCTCTGCAAGGGAAGACCGGCATTGTTTTTATAGCATTTTCTTAAACCCCCTTGTATGTAGAATTGATGGATAAGACATGTAAAAATGATACTGTCATACCTTTTGTATTGTCTTATTTTGATTCATTTTCCAGAGCTATTAAGCAACCAAGCAGGTGATGGCCATTACTGAACCTGACCTGGGCAATTGGTGCAGATTGCTTGGGAAGTTTTACCCATTGGACAGCATGGAAGTGATTGCTTCCAATTCTTGTTAACAGCAGTTGTGGAGACTTACAACAATAACAGCATTTCGGATTTCTTTCTCTCTTGTCTTAGGTTTTCTACCCTAGCAAAGATGGTACTAAGATCCCAATGTTTATTATTCACAAGAAAGGAATTAAATTGGATGGTTCTCATCCTGCCTTCTTGTATGGATATGGAGGCTTCAACATATCAATTACACCAAGCTACAGGTAAGCAGGGTAATCTATGCCTTCTTCTGAAGTATCTGGTATTAACTGTCACAAGCTGAGGGCAGGGTGGACTACGGATCTGACAGTGATGCATTTCAGGTCCCTGAGACATAAGATGGGGGCCATAAAGACTGCGCGGCAGCGTCCAGGCATCGTGTCTGCTTTGTTAGTTCCGAATTAAAGGGTTTTGCCCAGGGTCACAGAAGAAACCTATGTCAGAGCAGAGAAGTGCTGTGCTCTTCTGAGGTTTACACAGGCACCCTGCCCTTTGGATTACACCTTAACCTCTTCCTGCTTTGTCACTGAGCTCAACAGGAAAGCATATGGACATACTACATTAAGCAAGTATTTGAGCCCTTTGCTGAACTAATAACATAGGAAGTTTTCTTTTTTTTCCAAGTTATACAATTACCTACATCTAAATATTATAGAAAATAAAATATTTGTTTAAATTAATGTAAATAATTAAAATTTAGCTGTATTTTCATATTATACTTTTGAGGAGATTGCATCAGAAGCAAAATCCTACTGTGTTCTCATATAATCAGGAATGAGGAAAGATGATTCTGTCTTGAGATGCACATGATATGGGCTCCGCATATGCAAAGCAATGCACTGTAAACCAAAAATGCTGTGTGCAAAACAGGATTTGTAGCCCTCAAAAGCCGTAAGCTGTATTGAATAGATGATTTCTTTAAAGAAAAGGCTTATTTCCTCAGCAAGGGAATTTGAATAGACATGCCAAGAGGCAGTGATTGTCTCTAATACGTAAGAAATGCTCCTAGGCGAGGCAGGGGAAAACAGAAATGTAAAGGACTGAATGGAGAGCAGTTTTTCAGATAGCAGAAGAGCAGCTCACCAACACAAAAATAATTTATTATGAAACCATCCTATTAAGTTTAGGTGCTACCAGTTGTGCTGTGGAGTCAGCACACTTCAAGAAATTCTTTGTAGTGCTTGCTCTTCCAGGTCACTGTGATTGTATTTCTAAATAGCATTTACAGTTTCTTGTCCTTTCTAGCAAATACCTTGTCTAACAATGGGCCTTCCATCTTGTGTTCAATGATTATTTGAATGGTTTTTATCTGCCTTTTAAAGCTACATTTTTAATTTCCTGTAGTGTTTGAGAGACACAATTATATAACCAGGATAGTTTTTAAATTCCTTTTTAGATTAGGCTAAAGCACTGATTTATTACAGTTTATTGTAGATGCTGAAAACTGTGATAAAACTTACAATGTTTTCTTTTTTAAAGTAAGTATTATGTATCTATTGATTTAAGATAAGATTTCACATACTGCAGAGCTGACATGAGCTGGCTGCTGGCAAAAGAAAAAGGTATCTCATGGTGCCTCCTTCCACCTCCCAAGCCCTGGTGCTTGCTGGAACCTTTGCTAAGCTGACTTACCTTGCAAGAATGGCAGAAAACTATCCCAACAAAAAGGGGTGGGTGGTTTTCTGCCATTTTGGCAAGTTAAAAAATGACTCTCGTAGGAGTCTAGCAAACAGCAGCACGAGGGTGCAGCTGACAGTCAGAAGAGAGGACGATGGGAGGTGGGAGCAGTGACCTATGTCTTCCCGAACCCTATGAAACCTTTATTATACAGTCCATAAAATAAGAATATGAATCTGTAAGAGTCCCATAAAAGTAAAGGCACAGAGAACTGTCAGTCACCTCCAGATCAAAATACATCATCCCACTGACAACGTAAATAAAAACATACATTTATTTATTTATTTATTTGAACTTAAGACTCTCACAACTTTTCACAAAGCACTCCACCTTCTCCTTTCCAGTGGTTCATTTGTCCTGTATTTCTTCAAGCCACTACAATTTTTTCTCACTGGTACTTCACACTTGTTAACATGAGTCAGCTCTCTGGCTTGGGGAGCTTATTTCTGCTTAATTCAGAAACTGATGTTGCTTTTCATTTATTCTCCAACACAAAAAAATGAAAATAAAATCTTTTTCACCGAAAGCGATAGAAACAAACTAACAGGTTAGAGGATCCAGAAATAACTATGAGAATGATAGGCCCAAGTCATTAAGTCAGTTACGGTAGCGGTTTATTTTTGAATGCAAGCATGCATCATTTATATGCTCCTCTGAAGAGCTGCATTTGGTAGCATTTTGAGTACGGTGCCCGCTAGAGCACTGTCATTAATTATACAGCCTGCATAGCGAGTGCAAGTTAAGGCTGATGGAACTGACACCACTGGCTTGGCAGAGCTGAGGGGGAAACACCATCACAAACCCACCGCTAATGCCTCAGATTCGGCTAATTACCCTGCAGGAACCAACGCGTTTCCCTTCACTGTTCTGTATGTGCCTGTGTGGGTGCAGGAGAAGCAATTTCTGCTGCATCCTGGAACACGGCTGATTGTGAAGCAGACTCTGAAATTGCATTTCACTGCTACAGGGCCAGGTTGTACCAAGCCTTTAAGCAAAGAGGTGGTGCAGGGAGAGACTGTGTGCCCACAGAAAGGTCAGGGACACAGCAGCCAGGGCTGCAGAGTGCAAGATTACTCTTTGCTGTTACGTTGTTACCACTCCCTCCTGCTCCACAAAAGCCAAGAAAGCAACCAGGTCCAGTGACTCAGGATTTCTTCCCCATCACCGGTGCACTAGCCTGCATTTCTCTGTCAGCTGTAGTACCTGACAGCAGATCAGTAATTCTGGGAAAGCATTCTTGCTTCCTGAAGCACAGCTCCTCATGTTGTTCTATGCTATAAAAACCCAATACCTGTTTTCTTTTTTTTTTTTTTTTTTTTTTTTTTTTTTTTTTTCTCCTTAAAGGGTATACAGTCTGTTTTTTTTTTTTTTTTTTTTTTTTTGTGTTATGCTCCTTAAGAGTGATACAGTCTGGAAGGAGCTGTCCAGGGAAGGAACCATCTTCTGGTCCCTCCACTGGCTCCTTCCTGACCCTGTTGCCCTTTCCTTTACTCTTTTTCTTTACCCTGCTCCCAGGAGAGAAGGAAAAACAGGGGTAATGAGCAAAAGGCTGTATAGGCTGTTGGGAAGAGCAGGGAGACAGACTTTCCTCTGCAGAATGAGACATTTTGTAGGCATCCAGGGCAACTGGGCAGTTTGCTGTGACTCAGACACCAAGTTGACTTGAAATCAAATCTGGAAGCAAGAACCCACCTGGAAGAACGCAGGAGGCAGTAGCAGGATTGTGTATGAAACTTTAATTTTGTGCTGTCCAATCACTTGGAATTTTCACTTTTTTTAAAAGTTAATGAGTCCTGATTATATACTTACAAAGCCTGGTTCCTTGAACTTAAAAGTCCCTTTGAGAAAGCTTGTTATAAGCTCTAGGCACATCTACCTCAAAGCATTAGTCAAGTTAGGGTCCTGACTCACTTTACTACTGACCATACTGGAGTGGGTATGAATTAATAGTCATTGGCAGTGACATTACTAGATGTATATGTTGGGGTATATGGGGTAATGTTTTCTGAAGTGTCTAAATCCCAGTAGTATTGCTGAGAGTGAGCACAGATATACTAAACCTTACATATAATTTGGGCGATACAATGATCGTTACCAAACTCTGGACTGTGTCCCATTGAGGGTCTGTACGACAGAAAAATTGTTTGCTTGTGGAAATGGGGAGTAGCTTTCTGTAATAGGAGTACTGCATATCCTATGGATCCTAAATCACTTAGACCCTTCTGAAAATTATCATCAATGTACCATCTCTGTTAGAGAAATCTATGGACAGGATAGGATGCACTCAGTACTTTGGTTTTGCATTGCTCACAGATTCTCTTCTAGTTAAATATGCTGATCCCTCAGATGGGTACAGTTTCTTTCAGCAGATGGAAGAGGATGAACTCTGTTCTGGAATTTCTAATTTTCTAAATATTCTCAGGCAATATATTTGGGTAGCAAGCTCTTACCTTACCTGCAATTCCTGTATGTGCTACCTTTGATTACTAGATCAAGTGAGTCTGGACCAAAAAGTTTCTATTGATTTTGTTTGGGACAGAGACAGGGAAAAGAAGTGCAGAATATTCTGGGATGTTTTGTGGCTCTAACGTACCAAAAAATTAAGAAGCCACAATCTCATGAGGCAACCCACTGTCAGGCTACTCCACATTAGCTGTGTAGCAGCCTGTCAAAATTAGGCATCCTGGAGTTTGACAGAATAATGCTCTCTGACTTTTGGACAGTGTGCTTATAGAATATCAATCTTGCATCTGATCAGCACGTCACAGCAATCTAAGGAAAATACAATTCACAGTGATGGACTTCAGAATTGATTTTACAGAAGCAGAGAGAATTCATACTTCCTGAGCCATCTGATGGCCACAGATAACCAGCCTCGGTGAAAGTTTTTCCTTTGGGTTATGAAAATACAGAAATCTCTTATCAGTCATCCTCCTGCTTTTCTACTGGTTTCCTTAATCCTTGGTATATACTTTCAAGAACAAGTGCCAGTACATAGATAATTTCTTTGGGATGTACGAAAAATTTACCTGTTTTGATACTACATGAGGCACACTGTAGGAGTACTCTCTTTCAAGACATTTCTGATAAGTAGTAGGGGGACTTAAAGGTAAAAAGGCCCAATCCTTGCTTTTGCGGTTGAATAGGATTAATTTCTGCAGGCAGTGGTTTCTTGTATGAGCAAAGATTTTAAGTAAATAGGAAATTTAAACCTACTAGAGGAAAAAAAAAGACTTCTTGGGATTAAATTTTAATATTTTACTGGTCTCCTTGGCATATGTGTGGTTTGCCATCTGGAGCTTCTGCTATGTTAAGCTACTGCCTCAACAGATGAGAGATCTATTTGTCTTCTTAATTGTTAAATATAATTCAAATTACTTCAGTCCCTTTTAAAAAGATAGCAATAGCTTTGATACTTTTGCAAGTTGACATTTAAAAAACATTATGCTACTTTAGCTTTCAGCCAGGTTCTAGAGATACTAGGGAAGGCAGAACTTGTAATTTTATTTTTTACTATTTGTTTCGTATTTAGCAATGCAAGTGGAAAATATTTGACTGCAGACCCTGGCACAAAACAATGGCAGAAGCAGAGTTTTTCTTTGCAAACACAGTTTTATAAAGGTCCAAAAGAAAGTACATTAAGCAGAATTTGAAAATAACCTGCTCATAAACAAAGATCAAGCACTGATCATAAGTCTTAATTCTTTGCTTTCTTCATTTGGGCTAAGCCTTCCTTTCCTCTCTGAAAAAGTGGAGAACCTGCAGAAGAGGAACAGTTCAGAAAGTTATGGGGGTCCAGTGGTACTGCATAGCTCTAGTCCCCACACTGAAGGCTTTGAAGATGATTTAAAAAAATGGTGACATGTCCTGGGGTGGTCTTGTGTTAGGCGGTGTCACTGGTCACTCTCCTCTGAAATGCAGAACTAAAGGAGGAAGAATGGAACAGCACTGGTTCCTTCCTCTCCTGAGGCTGCGTAGGGTTTCATTTCCATGGATAAACATTGAAAAAAGCCTGGCTACTCAGGTTTGCCATCAAGGGGGACTTCATTCATGATTTCATCATTGATTTTGGGAGAGATCTTTCCCTCAAAGTATTTCTGTAAAAGTGGTAGGGATATAAAAATTGGAAATTAAAAATAATCCTCTGTTTGCTTTTTCAGTGTGTCAAGACTTATTTTTGTGCAACACCTAGGGGGTGTTCTAGCAGTGGCGAATATCAGGGGCGGTGGTGAATATGGAGAAACCTGGCACAAAGGTAAATCAGTCCAAGTAGAGGAACAAAACTGCAGGCTTAGCAATGAAAATGACAGCATTTTCTGTTCACTCCCTCTTCCATACTCATATCTCCTTTTGCCTTTTACTTATTCTGTAGAAAAGTAAATTTTTTCCTTACTCATGTTAGATCTGTACATTGTCCAAGTGTTATCTGATGGTTTTTGTTAGATTATTTTAATTTTTACAATCTACTTAAAAATAGTTTTGCACAAACACAATGTTTTCCAAGAAAATTATTGTGTGTTTTTAAGCAAGATCAAGTTCCCTAGAGTTAAGGATTTGAAAATGCAGCTATTTCTGTTGAACTGATTTTCCAAAAAAATGCCTGTCTTTATTGCAGGAGACCTGCTTTCACACACCTTTTTCATTATTTGCAAGTGCACGTGGCCCCACAATTCTCAAGACAACAGCACTGACTATTTAGACCCTCTTGGTATCAAACAAAAAAAATAAACCGTTTGTAGAACCTTACAGAAGGTGTGAACTTTTGAGTTCAGAATGTAACTCTTCCAGATTGTTTTTGCACAATTTATGAACAGATACTTTTTAAAATATTTAGTGAATGTGATTGAGTTCATATGAAAACAGTCAGCTCCACAAATGCAGTGACATGTCATCCACTCCACACTCTCTTGGGGGGTCCAATTTCTTGTAGGCAGGTATATGACCTTTTTGGATTTTTTAAGATGACTGCAGAGAAACCAAGTCACTCACTACAAAACCCTGTCAATCTCTTTTCCCCTTTTCTGAATACCTTTGATGTATTTCTCTCCATGTTTTTCCCATCCAATCCTTGTCTTAATCCTTTGACTGTCTTTGTCCACTTGCCTTATTGTTGACAGTTTTCTACATCCCTTCACCAGAGGAAAAAGTTGGAAAAAGTCCTACTCATCTCTGTAACATACCCATCATTATTTAATGGTGACACCTCATTTATATCCCAAGAATCTGGTGGATAGATTGCTGGAGATGTCATTGGCAAGTCAAATGCACCAAAACAGTGGTGTTTATGATGCAGTAATTTGCCATGGGAGTAATTCATAATAACTTTTTATCAAACAAAACAGTATTCCCAGATTATTACATCTTGGTTTTACTATTTCATCTGCGGTAACTTTTTGTCTGGGTCATTTCCTCACAACTGAGTTAAATATGTAATAGTTTATAAATAGAAGCTATATATGCTTGCAGATACAGGATATTATTGCTATAGATGAAGTATCCTTCATTAATTTTAATTTAATGATTGGTTTGTAATAGGTTTTAATAAAATTTATCTTAATATGATAAAGCTTCTTTGGTCCACCTGTTTGCTGCTTAATTTTGACCCACGTCTTTTACTGCAGTTGCATAATAGGATACGTATCTGTTCTTTGTTAATTCCAGAAGCAATTACAGAAGTCTGTTTTCTTAGGTTTAATTGTATAGGATTCTGACCTTACACCAGACCAGAACTTTGAACAGAGAGTAAGATTTATTTCTCCTTTATTGCCATGTATTTGAAGACTTTTTCGTTGTCCCAGTATGTCTCTCTTCAATGGTTTTATTAATGTGAGAATGATATGTATTTGTTAAAAAATAAAAAATTAAAAATTTACTGGTTCCCATTCTACAAGATCTGTATAACTAAATGTCAGAGTTATCTTACGAAACTTTTGCAACAGAAATGAAGTAAGCTGGGTGTCTAGGATCACTGGATGGACAATGGAGTTAGAGATGCCACCAGATTATAGCTCATCTCCCTTATTTTAGATTAGAATTAATTGTCTTGGAGGTTCCTGGACCATAGTGGGAACCTTAGGCAATTAGCTTGGAATAAACATTCAGCTTTTAAACAAAGTAGAAGGAACTGGAGTTCCACTTCTGCATCCACTGAGCCCCTCTTACCTGGCTGGACCACAGCCTTTGCTACAGGAATATGAGGATTTTCTTCCTAGTTCCCATTTCTTACTAGCATTTAATTGCCTGAGAAAGAATATACTAGGTCTTAAGGTAGGATAACCTTTGAGGAGAAGCCAGTTTTAGTCTCTTCCCCAACAAGCATCTAAAGCGGGAAGATTATGAGATTGGGTCAACTGTGAGTTCCCTAGGTAGACATTCTTCTGCTCAAATAGTTGAAACATTGTAGGGCAAAACCGTCCTTTTCCTTCCCTCACCCACCCTGCAAACTTTTTTGTTCTGAGAACTGGAAGTCTTACCAATGGTGTCATCTAGACCTACATTTTCAGTCCCGATTTATTCCTCATACATCTGATCACATTTGGAATTTTGTTCAACAGGATGGCAGCATCTTAAGCGTTTCCATAATGATAGTTAATTAATAAAATTTCAAACCAAGATGCAACTCTGAAGTCCCTTTTTGTCCATAGCTTTACATCATCTGATTTGAAAACAACTAATAGAAAAAAAAGTAAATTACCAGCCACATATTCTATGTCCAGGAAATTAGAAGTGCTTATTTTTTATAGCTTATTTTATAAGTTGAAGCTTTATTGCTTTAAGAAACTGTCACTGGGTTTAATGCTGTTAAAGTCCCATTAGACCAAACCTCAAGTGGATTGTATGTGGTCATTTTGTATATATTTTGCAATGCAAAGCTTTTAGCTTTAATTTTGCTGATTAGGAACATTACCTGGCACTCACTCCACAGTATAGGTATGTATTATTCAGAGTTTCTGAAACCATTAATCGACAGAACCATCTTATTACCCCTCTGTGTTGAAAGAATCTTTCATTTTTGCTGTCTTTCTGAGCTGCATCAATTATTAAAATGTTCATGAAACTGGAATTGTTCCCAGGTATTTTTGCACACATGTTTTGCTGAAGAGATGGTATCGAATGGATTTTATGGCATCAACTGATTTGTTTTATTTGTGTGCTAGGTGGTATCTTGGCCAACAAACAAAATTGCTTTGATGACTTCCAGTGTGCTGCCAAATACCTCATCAAGGAAGGCTACACATCCCCAAAGAAGTTGACTATTAATGGAGGCTCAAATGGGGGCCTCTTAGTTGGTAAGAACTGCTCATATATTTCCTGGGTTTGGTGCTGGGTTTATCAAAGTAACCAGACAAAAATTCATGAGAGCCTCTTTTCAAAAGTTGCCAGAATGTCAATGCATTAATATGTACCAGGTGTTAAATATATACAATTGTACTTCATTTGCTGCTTGCATAGGACGTTGGGATTCTGCAGTCTCTAGCAAAGGCTGACTGTTAAAAGCCATGCTTACAATTACTGTGGTAGAGCTAACCCTGTGGTAGAATCACACAGTAAGTAAGAATGCTTTAAAAAGCATTTGGGTTTTGATTTTTCTTTCTTAAGGCTAACCACTACAAAATAATTACTGAATAACCAGAAATCTGTTATGTAGCATCGGGAAGCTTTGTGTGGTCTGTAGTGTAAATCAGAATCCCATGTCCTGCAATCCTTTATCAGAGTTTCTCGTTCACTCTTTCTGTAGTCATGCATTCTTCTTAGAGGGCAAACGAAAACATGACAGTTTGATGTTTAAAGCCTTTGTACAGGGACACCTAACAATTTGACTCTACTTGACTCTACTTTCATTGTCTAGTTAAAACATGACCACAAATAAAATCATGAATGTCTCTGAGAAACATAAAATACAAGTACAGCTACTGGAAAAAGTCATGAGCTTTTGAGGGACTGTGTAAACATAGCACTTTGTTACAAATGCATCTTGTTCACATATAATTCACTGCTGTGTTCTTAAATTCAAGGAAATCAACAGCCTCCTCTTAAACAGAAAAGCTTGTCACAAAAACATCTCATAATCTAAGCAGTATTTAAAAAGCTACAAAATTTGTTTCTGATTAAATCCCTGTATCTGAAAGTAGTAGAAGAAAAAAGGAGGTGATTTTGTTCAATTTTGAAAGGAGAAGGAAACACAAATTAATAATATTGGGGTTTATATTTCTTTTAAACAGCATGAAAGGCATGTGACAGTATGACAGAGTTGAGCTTCTCATGTGAGAAGAAAAAAAAAAAGCTTTTCAAGTTCATAAACTACCAATTTATAGAAAATGAGCAGATTTACTAGGCCCACTCTTTGCTTGCTCTTCTTTTTATGCTACGCCCTATTTATCTGCTGCTGAATACTGGCTTTACTGATTTTATTTTATTTTTCAGTGAGCTAGCATCCAGCATAAGAAACAGGATTTGGAGTTATACAGATCTTTGGTCTAAGCCATCTTGGCTATTCCTGCATTCTTATTTTTAAAAAGCAATTGTTTTAAAGATAAATAACAAGTACATGTAAAATTGTATTTTTGCTTTCTGCTTATATGCTTCTTGGTTACAGGTGGCAGGAGGTATTTGTGCATTGTAAATAAGAGTGCCAGTAGAAATGGATGAATATGGTAAAGGATTGAAGGGTTTGCACACTTTGGGAGTGCAAGCATTGCACAAGTCAATTTTATGTGAGCATAAATATATACTTGGGAATGCAGTTAAACTTTCAACATGTTACATAGCTTCTGAAAATACTGTTTTATGGTTACATGGACTTCAGTTTCAGTCAGGATGCGATTCATCCTACCCAGCTTTAGTCATCAAAAAAATCTGTGTTCATGGCCGAACGAAGTCAGCTGGGCTCCTTGTTTAGGTAACGGAAACGAGTGACATCTGCAGAGTGTACGTCGTTCCAGTAGGAGACAGGTGTTAGGAATCTGGACCTCCCTGCTCTGAAAAAATGTTGTTAGAAGCCTGCCTTTGCACTTGCAGATGGATTACATTCGAGCTGGATTTCCATGCTCTTGATGAGCCACATAGGGATTTTCCTTGACTGGGTAGAATTAGGTGAATTTAGCAAATTCTTGTAAGTGCTTTTTCATCAATGCAGAACTTAATTTTGCAGTAGTTGTTCATGCAACACTAGAGAGCATAACTCATACTTTAGGTGCAAGGACCCACTGCCAGATTTTCTCAGTTCTCATTTATTGAAGAAAAAATTGACAAGGAAGAGTATTGTCACTCTTCCAAAATACTGTTTCCTTCTAGTCTGACTAACAGGAGGTGTCTCTGAGGAGCACAGAGACCTGAGCTCTTGCTTCATTCAACTGTAAAACAAGACTTCCTTGTCCTGCAGTGTGATCCCAAAGCTGAGTAGAACAGCACAGCTGTGAGCTGAAAACCTCCTTCATGCAAAAGCAGTGTTTGACCTCTTGTGTTTGCTCAGACAAACAGTTCTGAGGTTTTGAAATCTTACTTTTGTACTGAATTTTAAAGCTCAGAGTATGTGTGGAGGAGTAGAATTCACAAGTAAATTGTTGATGCAGGTTGCAGTTTATTAATGCATATAATTAAGTATTATGGCTAATTAAAGGGGTGCAGTGGGAATGGATGAGTGTCTCCATAAGTGATTTCTTACTGGACTAACTATTTAGGGAACTAGAAGCAGCAATTTTTTATAAAATCCTCTTGAAGCAGTGCTTCAAGAGACACTCTGCAATAAAGAGTACTAAAATTAAATGTTATGATAGTTGTTTTGGCTTTTTTTCCTACCAGAATATAATTTATGTTCATAAAAGGAAATAACATGAAGGGAAGGAATCTGATCAAAAGCTTCAGTTAAAAGGATAAAGAGCTTTTGCGTGGCAGCTATTTAAGGCACTATATATGCCTTATGAAAATGGCTCAGAAAGGACCCAGGAAGAGTTAGCATAGTTAGATATCAGAGATGACCAGAAGTAAAATTGCGTCCTTCAGAAAATAGAAACCACGTTCAAATGAAGAAAATAGGGTAGAGTGTAAACTCTGACAGGGACTGACAGACCACAGGAGACTGATGAGCAAATTGCTTCCAATATAAAGATTAGCAATGAAAGCTTTCTGTGCACGTCAGAAGCAGGAAGCTGGCCAGAGGATCTGAGGGACTTACAGGTTAGTGAGGTGTAAAAGGAGCACTAAAGAAAGATAATGGCAGAGCAGAACAACTAAATGGTCTATTTGTATTGATGTTCCCTCCTGAGGAGCATGGGGAGTTCCCTGCACCAGAGTCTCTCTTCATGGGGAATACTCTGAGGAGCTGACTCAAGCTGAAGCATCAGCAGAGGAGGTTTTGGAATAAATCAATCAAATGAAAAGTAGTGTGTTGCCAGGACCAGATGGTGCACACTCAGGATCCTAAGTGAACTCCAGTATGAAATTGCAGGCTACTAAGCCTGAATATCTGAGGAACAGAAGGGGGCAAGTGTAATGCCAATTTTTAAACGGTTCATGGTGATCCACAAGCTGCAGATGAGTAAATCTGACTTCTCTAATGGGCAAACCAATTGAAACCAATAAATAATAGCTGACACATAAAGGAGAATTTTGCAGGCTGGAGTTACATCGTGCAAATCTGTTAGAGCTATTCGAAGGAGTGAAGCAGCATATGGTGCTTGTAACAGTGATCTAGGTGAGGAGCTATTCTTGGATTTTTCAAAAGCTTTTGACAAGGTCCCTCGCATAAGGCTATGCAACAAAGTTCTTGCTGACCTGGAAGCAAGGTCGTGTCATAGAAATATCCTGGTTAGCAGGAGGCAAAGAATGGGAATAAACGATCCATTTTCAGAATGGACAAAAATGAGGAGGTACTAAGAATTTGGGAAAGTGGATGCACAGTGATTAGCTCTGAATTAAGAAAGGGTTTCTGGGATCCATTGAGGTAGTTATGTGAAAATCTCAGTGCTCTTATTTCTTAAAATTCAAAAAAAAGCAGGGGAATTTGTAAAATCAGTAGGCAACAGATTTAAATCAAGCAACAGAAATAGGAATTGAAGAACTTATTGCTACAGGATATGATGAACTCTAGACGAATAAAAATTAAGAAAGGAAATACATATATTTACGGAGAATACGTGTTTTGATGGCTGTTTAACAGGATGGCTGGAGATAACTCCAACTCAGGGAAAACCTAAACAACTAGTTCAAAAGCTGAGCATGTACAGGAAATACCTCCTTGACGCCTTTTCCCAGAGCATCTGCCAGTTGCCACTCTTATAAATTGAATACTGAGCTAGATGGGCCTACTGTGGTTATTTTTAAAATATATGAGGCAAGCATTATTCTTAAAGAAATTGTCCCTTCCGGTAGTAGGAAGATGGAAATAATAAAAAAAGAAAATACAACAGTAATTTGCTTTATTAAAATGAGGTTATTTCTCTGATTTTGTAGTAGTCTGCTTTTATCAAAATTCTTTTCACATGGGTTTACATAGTAATCATGGAAGAAAACGTTCATCAGTAAATGGAAGGCTTTTGCTCCTTAATGCCCTTTTCTTTGTTGATCCTAATATTAAAAGTTTAGACAGTGAATGGTTTAGGAAACTTCACTTCAGTAGTCCAAAAGCTCACATATTTTAAAATTGCATTTCTCCTTTAAACCCAGTTTGCTAGTTTGGAAGGCAGTTTTCAAAGAACAGCATGTTTGGTGCCTGAAGAACAGGGAAATAACTCTTAAGCTCTTTTGAACATACTATCTTTGGGAGTTACAATTTTTATCCATTTGTGTATTTGCTTTCAGTTTTGCTTAAAAGTCTATTTGACTTCATATTCCCTGGCAGTCTTCTCCCAGTGCAATTGGCTTTATATCAGATAATTTATACTGAAGTTTTTTGGCTCCAGGTTTTATATGGTAATCTGTATTTCTTCTCACATTGTTTTAACTTAACAGTCTTAATTTTTTTTTTTTTTAAAGAAACTTTGAGTTTATAAAAGACAGCTGTTTGAAAGTTGGTCTTTAATGAACTTGGCAGTGGAGGTTTCACTGCTGAACTTAATCCTTTAAGATATGAATACTAATGGAGTTGTTTTCTTGTCAAAGCTGCCTGTGCTAATCAGCGCCCCGACCTATTTGGTTGTGCCATTGCCCAAGTGGGAGTGATGGACATGCTCAAGTTCCACAAGTACACCATCGGCCATGCTTGGACCACTGACTACGGTTGCTCTGACCGTAAAGAGCAGTTTGAATGGCTCTGCAAGTAAGTACCTTTAAATACTTCTGTGGTTGTTAAAATGCATAGTCTGCTCAACAGTGTCAGGTTGTCATGATCAATATCTATTCTAAGAATTATTTCATCCTTTCCCACATGGGATTTGGGGAGTTCAACATTTCCTTACAAGTCAGTTTTACATGAAAGACTATCTTCAAAGCCCTCTTAAGTCAACTGGTCATATTTTCCAAGACCTTGTTCCACTAGCAGCTTTAACAACTCATAAGGTTTTCTTTCTGAATAATGACTCCTTTAGGCTGTCACAACAGAATATTCTCAAGTGAACCACTACATAAATTGTATTTTTTACGATGGGGGAGAGACAATCACCATTGTGAATTATATTACATAATGTGGATGGGATTTATTTGTAGGAATTGAATGCCAGTAGACTATAACAGGATATTAACTCATTTCTTAACTCCTTGTTGAGATGTCTGGAAAGACTTTTTTTTTTTTTTTTTTTTTTTTTTTTTTTTTTTTAAATAGAGCGAGACACAAGAGAGACAGCTGTGTGAGAACAGAAATTATCTGAACATTGGATGTGGCTAATAATGAGTGTGTTAGAATAAGTGCCATCATTTTAAAATATTTTTCTGGAACCTTGTCGTCCATTACTGCATTTATATTCCTTTAATAATGAAGACTGACATTCCAGGAGAATGCTTCAGACACACTAAACAATTTGGCTGGTCTGAAATTTAATGGAGTGTTTAGATATTAAAAAGTACGTGTGCTACAAGTACACGGAGATCTAACTTGATCTAAAGCATTTGTTAAAAAAAAAGTCAATGTCAAGTCCAAATACCAGATCATCATTTGGGCCCATTGTAATTAGATTGTTTCAGAACCTCCAGTTGTCTAATATAAGCTTTCAGTGGCAAACATGTTTTTGGTAAATATAGTGCACAAAACAATTAACAAATTTCATAATTCATCTTTCATCAAGCGATAACGTAGATCTTAGATAATAGATAAAAGGTTAACTTGTAAAAATGATCCAAATAATTTTCATGATTTTGGACGCTGAAACTTGCCTGCACATCTGTGAATTCAGATATTCTGAAGAGGTAAAGTAGAAGCAAAGTTTCAAATTCATTCTGTGATTAGGAGAAATGCATCTGTAGGAAGGAGTCACTCCATACCTACTTACACACATTTGTGTTACAAAATCTCAATGCATAATGTTAGAAACATCTTATATGGCAATACCTGAAATATTTCTTCACCTCCTTTTCAACAGCTGACAATTGCTTATCAAATGTATGAAGATATATATGTAACGTTGCTTAGATGTTGCCTTTACAGATACCCAAAAAGTACATAAGGCAAATAGAGTGGCATGTAGTGACTATCATTTAACTTCTTTTCAAGACAAATCATAGTCTGCAAATTCACTTACATTGTTCCTTAGATGAAAATGAGGAAGCCAGGAATCTGTTAGGTTAGACATTGAAATATTGTCACGTGTTCTTAAAAATAATTTGGACTTACTTAATGGGTACTCTTCCAAGTGGGAAATCCATTCAAAATTTATTTTTGAAAATTTCCTTCTGTGTTTCCTGTCATGAAATAGGGGGGAAAAAAGTGTCCTACTCTGGATTTAAGGAATGTAACATTATTCCTAGGTGTAGCTTTGTCTAAATGAAGTATGAAATGGTTAGATGGAATTCTTTGTGACTTACTATTACATTTAATTTCTAATGCTAGATAGTACTTTGTGTTGAGATATGTAGATACACCTTTTATGTTACAGTAGCTAGAAGATGTAAATTCTCCTGCAAAGAAAGCAAATTTTGAAAGTTATCAAGGTCATCTATCAAAAGCAGGAAAACTTACAGTTCTCCTTTCAGTTTCCTGCATAGTGTTCCCTCAGAGTATGTGCATGTTCAAAGGTGGCTTAAATATTGGAGGGAGCAAATTTAATAACTGTATAGCACTCATGGCTTACCATTGGAGACTGTTTCCAAATTTGCATGGGAAGAAGCCATCCACATGCAGACCCGGACTACATACATATGCTGGAAAAAAGTCTCAATTTCCCAGTTTCCCAGCAGGATGGATGCTGCTGTGGACTTGACAGCTTTTGCTGCAGTTTCCCTGTTGCCCGTTCCTGATATTTTTGGCATTTCTGTGAGATGTATGCATATGCCTCTCTGAAATTAAAGCAATGTACTTGTGTCACATTTGAGAGCCAGACAGCTGTGGCCACTACCACATATCAGTTGCCAGTGGTGCAATTCCAGTTTATGCAACTGAGAACGGTAGTATTCTGAGTGCTGTCAAATGCCACTGTGACGGTTTCAGTATGAGAGGACCTTCTTGTTGGGTCTTGAGGAAAAAATACATAAACTTTTGTGTGCTCTTCTCAGGTACTCTCCGCTTCACAATATCAAACTGCCGGAAGAAGATGGCATCCAGTATCCCTCTATGCTGCTTCTCACAGCAGACCATGATGATCGTGTGGTCCCTCTACATTCACTGAAGTTTATCGCTACTCTGCAATATGTTGTGGGCCGAAGCCGTAAACAAACCAATCCACTTCTCATCCATGTTGACACCAAGGCTGGGCATGGAGCAGGAAAGCCAACTGCTAAAGTTATAGAAGAAGCATCAGATATGTTTGCTTTTCTAGCACGATGTCTAAATCTTGATTGGATTGAATAGGCAAAATGCTTATTACTGTCTCATTTAGAAAACAAGGGCTTTAACACCATTTAAGACCAACCAGACTACTACTTGGTGTAGTACTTACATTTAAGAACTGCAGTTTAATATTTTATTGATCCAACCTGCTATGGAGTTTTGACCTTCTGTGCTTCCCTCTTTTTGGCGTTTCTTTGAATTTCTTTTCTACTGCGTTGCAAAGTACATTTTGAAAAGCATGTTCAAATAAATAGCTGAGCTACTGTCCGTGCTGTTGTGAACATTTAGATTCTGGAGTTAATGCTAGTTGAGCTTATTTCCTGTAAACGATTTTAATGTATTTTGCACCTATAAACTTATCCAGGTCATCTGTAATTAAATGTAAGTACTGTCCACATACAAGAACTCTGAGCATACTTTATTTACACAATAACTTACTTAAGAATGTAAATTGAAGGTGTTCAGCGATAACCATGAAATACTGAAGAGACAGTAATCTGGGTATTTAAGTCAAATATTATTAAAACGCGTATATTACATGCTGTTCATAAGTGTGTTACAGTCTATAATAATGATGTTGCTAAATTGTTCTTTCTTTCCAAAGAGACTTCAAAATGTCACCAGTTTTCTCTTCTGTCATTTATTTTCACACAGAAGGGAAAATTGGAGGCCGGAAAACTTGAAGAATTCTTAGAGTCTCACTGTAATCTCAGTCAAGCTCTACAAATACTCTTCAACAACCCATCTGCTGTTAGCTCTTTAACTATTTCTGAAGAGTAGACCAGACAGTGGTTTAAAAACCAACCAACCAAAAAAAGCCCCAACCCAAAACCACAGCTTTGTCCAGATTGTTCAAGTTCAGTTTTTCCTGATGCCTTTGACAAAATGTTCTTTAACAAGCCAAAACCTGAACATACGTATATAACCTAGTTCTGGCTGCAGAACAACTCCCTAATGATTTGACACAGGCACAGTATTTGAACTGCCATTTCATATCTTTCCCATCTAGGCTGTAGAGCTATAAAGTAGATGTGAGTATTTGCCTACTAGCTGTCTAAACTCTGATGCACCGCAGCAATTGGGGTTTGATTTTGCAGAGCAAAAAGGTAATCTACCAGTTATTATTAGTATAGTTGTCCCTCCAGAAAATACTGCTGCTTCTCGGTTTTGGATAAACTGATGTATTGGTCCAGAATCATGCTCATCATTATATTCGTACTTAGACCCTGAGGCCTGTATTTTAACTCTGGGCTCAGGAGTTTCATCTCTAACTAAACAGCATCTCAGCCCAGGAGGAGGAGGGAGTGGTATTTAAAAGACGAGTAGGCTGCTGTAAACAGCAGCAAAATTAAAAATAAATTTGTGCCAGATTCACTCTGTGTTTCTCTCATGCTCTGGGGCTTCTGCAGATTCCCTCTGCAATCCAGGAAGGTTCATCTCTCCCAGGCCCTTGTTATACAGAATTTGATATAAGGAGGGGAAAAAGGGATTCTGCTTTCCTATGAAATACCATACCTAAAACTTGTGTGTGATCTGGGGTTTTATGGGCATTACAATTTTACCAGATACTTTATGGACTGATGCATTCTGATCACAGCATTGAATTAAACAATCAGAGTAGGGAGTTGAGGGAGGGTGGGTTGGTAGGTTGTTTTTTTCCCTCCGGGCTGTGAAAACAGGGTTCAGGTTCAGCACCCCCATTTTCCCAGAGGTATGTGAACTGCTTTCTATGATCATCTGGGAATTTTCAACAGCTTCCCTGCATGGCAGAAACAAAGCGCATAAAGCGATGCCATCTCCACTTGTAACACCTCACAGTTGCACATCTGGCCTTTTATTGAGTGTTACAGTATCATCAAGAGGGCAGAGCTTCACCTCTGAGATGAGAGCTTTGCAGGATAGGGTGTGTGGAGAACATGGTCCTCAGGTATTCATGAAACAGAGCTCAACTCTGTCAGTGCATTGAATTGCAAAGGATTGGGCACATCCACCTCAATCATCTCTTCAGGTCTTTGTTCCTAAAAATGCATTTCCTTGTTCTCTAGCTGCTCAAACACAAAACTTCTGGCATAGGTTAAAAATCATTCATTTTCCTCCTGAAGCTTTCTGCTGAAGCCGAGTTCCGTTTGGAAACAAACATTTCTCTCTGAGTGGCAATCAATAGTATTGAAGGTGGAGCTGGCTTGCTGGAGACACCACTCACAAAATAAGAAGTGTTCAAGAGTATCCCTTGTAGAATGCTGGTACCTGTATTGGGAAGGCATTGTGTTTCTGTAATAGGGTCTTAATGTTGACATTTTAATTGATCTTAATCAGGCATGCCAAGTCCAGGATTCAGGTGCCAAAAAAGTGATGTTACAGAGCTGTCCTATTAAAAGTTGCTCCTTTCAGTGCAGAAAGGGTCATGCTCCAACTGGAATCTGTAAGTAACTCTGAGCGAGTAATGCTCTTGTAATATAGTGGGATTTAAACCTTCAGGGTTTGGATTAAATAGATCTGGAGTCAAAAAAAAAAACCTAATGAAAACTCTGTTAGTCTGGTTCCAAGGTTAACTTCTGTTCCCTACAGTGAAAATGCTATTTTATGAAGAGGCTCTGTATTTTGTGCCTTTTATTTCCAGTACGTGAAGCAAAATTCACTAGCTGGGCAAGGTAACCTTCTCACAAATACCTGCTTTTTCAAAATCATGTTTCTTAGAAAAACAGATACCAATGTTTTGTGACAAGCTCAAAGCCAGAAAAATCTTTTAAGTCCTGTAAGAGGCCTATGCTACATGAACCAAAATCTGGTTTTAAGTGGAAATAAATGAACTTTTTACATATTGCTCCTTCTGATGCTCTTCACAATTAATGTAAAGATATCTTAGTTGTCTTTGCTCCCATGAGCATACATTTGTATCGGAGTTGATTTATATGAAAATGTCAGAAGTATGTTTAAAAACTGAGAGTCTTCGTATTCTTCACAGAAAGAGATATTTTAATTCCTTTGCATTGGAGTTAATTTACATTTTGGTAGCTGCAAAAAAACAAACAAAAAAACCCTCTGACTAGATAGGTGCTGCACCCTCTCCAGCAATATAACCACCAAGATCTAAGAGTGGAAGAAGGGCAGCTGGGCTGTGGATATGTAAGAATAAAGGACACTCAAGACAGTTTGGAGACACCTGTTCCTGGCACGTAGGACTTCTCCTGTTTCACCAGGATTTTCTTGACTTGACTCTACTTTGCCATCTGTCTGTAGGAAGGGAGAAACATGAGCAGCAGTACTTTTGGATTTGATATGCAAGCAACAGCTTTCAAATGTCTATGTTGTCAGGTCATTCATTTATTTTTAGCCTGCGGTAGCCTCTCAGGATTGCCTAAAGATCTGCTTACAGACTCTTCCTGACAGCCTCTCCTGTGAAAGGGGTTCCCCATGCTGAGTAGGATTTAGAGGGGAGGGCTGAGGGAGGGACTTGGAAGCCAAGCTAACAACCAACCACCCAATTTTCTGCCAAGCTCTTCTACTTTGAAAATCTTTAGTAGACAGCTTTTGTGCAGTTGCCTATTTGTGCAGACCTCTCAGGATTTGGATAGTCCATGCTGTTTGAACAGCCAGGTTTGGCAACTTCATTCATTTCTCCGTATGTTCTTTTAATTACTTGTGCCTTACTATACTGCACGCCAGGAAAAGAAAAAGCATTCCTCTGGCTTTTTTTTCACTGGCCCTTGCAGGAGGGGGAGGTGGGGTAGCCTTCCAGTTCTCAAGTCTCTGAAGATAACCAAGGTGTGTCCTCAAGATAACGTTATTCCTGAATAGCCATTTCTGAATAAGCTCATGTCTTCAGTTTGTTCATGGCAGAGAAATCCCAGTGATGGAGACCCTCAGTAGAAGCTGGACTAGCTACTAGCATCTACAGAAGTTAATTTAAATTCTGGACTAGGAGGACTGTGATTTGTCCATTTCTCCTAATTTTCTATAAGAAGATTAACTGAAAATTCAACATTTAAAACCAAAGCTAAGCAATAACATGTCAGTGAGAATCTCTGTTCTGTAGACATCCCTCTGCCTTGATAGCAGGAGTAACAGAGACAAGGAACAAACTTGGTGCTTATGCCCTGACCCATAGCAGGGCAAATTTAATGCTGAAAGGCTGAATGGCAACAATCAGTTCATGGTGATTTTCACTAAACATTTCTAGCTTCCGCAGCAGGTGTAGCACGAGGGCTGGAGTCAATGGATGGATGATGTCTCTGCAAATGTGATGTTTCTAGGCTGCCACATGCTGTACAGAAGACTACAATTTGTGCACGTGCACTACTTTCAATGCCTCTCAGGCCTTCTATGTGCAAAAAGGAAAGAGACATTATTCTTGAAACCCTTAAAGTGGGGGGGTGCATGCTATTTTAAATAATGTGGATTAGGTAGGTGTCTGATACTGCTAAATGAAGCTTTAAATTAGATAGTTGTCTATAACCTAAACAGGGCAATATTACGCCCAAAATGTTATCTATAATTTTCATCTTAGCATCACTGGAAAAATGCTGAGGAAATAATCAGAAGGAAAGCAACAGAAAGCGCTTGATTTTGTAGTATTCATATTGCTTTGACCCTTTCAGTACTTCAGGAGGCTCGATGAACATTCACTGTGTAGGTTCCAAAATAAGCGTTCCTCCAGACATGGAGGGGGGTGGAATTTCCTGGTTTTAGGAAACAAGGTTGTATGACGAATGTAAGATTCCACACAGTGAAGCTACAGACCAGCTGTAGGTTGAGCTGCATGAAATACCTTAATTCAGCAGGGGCACCTGGACTCATAGGTGGTAATTCCATTTAGTTCTTGGCACTGTCATTTTCATGCTGCTTTTCTTTCCCTGCAAAGAGCTGTACTTAACCTCTGACATCTCCTCAGCAGATGAACGTTAAGATATATTGCATTTCAGTGATGCCATCAAATATATTCTGTTCTCCTGTAGGACTTTGAAAGTGTCAGAAGACCAGAGCAACAGCCACAAAATTAGTGTTTGCTTTGCCACCTAGCAGTCATTGAACAACTGTGAGCATACTAAACAACAGAGGAATTTATTCATTAGTTAGTTATACACCAGTTAATGCAATTTTTTGGAAGTTTGGATGAGAATGCTTAGCTGGTGAAAAACTGCTTTCTGTGCTGCTTTATGCCTTTAGGCTGTTTCTGATGTGCAACAACAGCACGTCATTTTGTCAGCAAGTGACAAAGTGCTGTAACGTAGACTGTTGTTTCCTTCCTGGGAAAGAGATTGAATAAAGGGCTTGGGCATTTCACTATTCAGAATCCTTTGGAGCTGTAACAGGAGCAGATAAACAATACTTAGTGTCTTCTGATTGTTTCAAATGAAACAGCATAATTTCTCAACAGAATATGATGTTTTCTGGTAGTGTTATATTTCAGAGGAAGCTCTGCTGTAGTAGAACAAGCTTTGAAATGTAGGTGTGTGCAGGTATCCATTTCAGTAGCTGGGCCAAGCTGTTAAATACTTCCTACTTCAAATATTTAGTGTTAATAATTATCATTCTGCTGCTGAAATTGCTT